TAGAATAGAATAGAATAGAATAGAATAGAATAGAATAGAATAGAATACTGGGATGTAGAAGAGAAGAGAAAGAAGAGAAGAGAAGAGAAGAGAAGAGAAGAGAAGAGAAGAGAAGAGAAGAGAAGAGAAGAGAAAATAGAAGAGAAAATAGAAGAGAAAATAGAAGAGAAAATAGAAGAGAATTCTTTATTGGCCAAGTGTGATTGGACACACAAGGAATTTGTCTTTGGTGCAAATGCTCTCAGTGTCCATCAAAGAAAAGAGACATTCGTCAAGAGTCAAGAATCATCAGGGACAACACTTAATAATAGTCATATGGTACAATAAGCAATCAAATCATACTGGGAAACAGTCCAGGATACAAGCGGCAAAGTTACAGTCATTCAGTCACAAGTGGGAGGGGATGTGTGAAAGGAAGGAAGGTGACTACGGTTGTGTAGAAGGTTATTGGTGCTGAGAAGGTGCCAAGGAAGGAGAATGTGGCTGGACATGGTCCTTCCAGAGGTGAATCAGTTGAGGTGTAAGGTTTCTTATCTGTGACTACAATTCCTAAAGTTCAGTCTGAAGATATGGATGCCTCCAAAATACAGTGAACGGAGATAGGAAAAGATATATATCCCATCTTTTAACCCTTCCAGTATCCAGATGTGTTCAACCACTGCAGTGTTTCTCAAGATTGGCTGCTTGAAGATGGGTGGGCTTCCATTCCCACAATTCCCTAACTGGCCATGCCTGGGTTTTTGTTTTTTTCCCCTCTCCTATCCTCTAGAGCAGGGGTCACCAACCAGTGGGCCGGGGATCACTGGTGGTCCGTGGGAAAATTTTGGTGGTCCACAGAGAAATGTCCCCCCCAAAGTAATTAATCCAGGCTGCGCGGGAACACAAGGCTGCACCGCCCACATGGCCCGTGGGAACACAAGGCTTGCATCGCTTGCATTGAGAACAACAGGAGGTAGTGAGGGGAGGGGGGAAAGGATGGAGGAGGGGAATTTGCCCCACTTGCCCCACGTGCCTGGCCTGGCCACCTGGCTGCTTCTTTCCGCTTCTTTCTCCTTCTGCTTTTGGCTGCAGGCAAGAAAAGCAGCCAAAGTCTTTTTTTCTCTCCCCCAAACTCCGCCAGAAATGAGTCTCTGGGACCCTGCAAGGCCTCCTGCTCCAAGAGGCTGCGCCGGCAAAGACTCATTTCTGGTGAAGTTTGGGGGAGAGAAAGAAAGACTTCTGCGGCTTCTGCTGCTTTCCTTGCATGAAGCCAAAAGTCTCTCCCTCTCTCTCTCTCTCTCCTCCTGAGAACGGAGCTGGAGACGGTATCCTGCGATCCCAAATAAAGAACGATCGGTCGGTAGGAAAACAGGGTGGGGGATTTTCCTAAAGACTTTTTGGGGGATTTTCCCAGGGTCTCAGGTCCGCGGGATTTAAAATGATGAGTTTGGTGGTCCCTGAGGTCCAAAAGGTTGGTGACCTAGAACAGAGGGATGCAGAGGAAGGGATGATAAGAGAGTAAGCAGGCCACAATGGGGATAACACCAAAAGGGAATGCAATTTGTGCCAGAGAATTCTGGGTGATGAAGTTCACACATTTTTATTTATTGATTTATTTTTGTTTATTTTATTTGTTTGTCAAACACGTACAAGAGAAGCGTAGGTATGAACATAAACCTGAACAAGGGAAATAAATACAGATAAATGGGGACAGTAAGACAGGGATGGTAGGCACGCTGGTGGGCTTATGCACGCCCCCTTTAAGGACCTCTTAGGAATGGGGTGAGGTCCACGGTAGATAGTTTGAGGTTGAGGGGTTGAGGCTGGAGCAATTGAGTTGGGTAGAGCATTCCAGGCATTGTCCACTCTGTTGCAGAAGTGGACTCTCACACGGTGGGCGAGAGATTCTGGCAGCTGACCCACCTTCCAGCCACTAAGCATGAGGGACACACTGTCCTAAAGATGAAAATATAGAAGGAAATCGGGGAGGTGGGGAGGGAGAGGTCCAGAGTTCAAAGCCCTTCCAGACAGATGTTGAGGATGAGTGACAGCGCAGTCCAGGGAAGAGAGAGGAAGGGTTGGAGGTATGAAAGAGAAGAAATAGCCAAGAAGAAAAGAATGGTAGCGGAGAAGAAAGAATGCAAAGCACCTGACGGGGAAAAAACCACCCCATAGAGTGGAGAGATTGCAGAGGAAGGGATTACAAGAGAATAAGCAAGCCAAAAATGAGTATACACGTCAAAAGGGAATGCATGAGTGCCAGGGTGTCCGGATTCTGGCACTTCACCCCCATTTAAATCACGAGTCTCGAGCCAAACTTCCAAAACTTCCAAAGGATTTATTAGGAGTAAACATGCCGGCACTGCATGGCTGCAGCTGACTCTGAGAGACACATCATTCCTTGTCACCCTTGACCCTGGTTTTCCCCCAGCCCCCTGGGTGTATCCTAATTCATATTCTCCAATGGGACGCATCCATAGCCCAGAGTCATCGATCATGCTCTCCAGTTAGAATTTTGCACGGCAGAAACTTCAGTCACCTAGTTACTATCTTTGAAAAACTATGTATGGAATGCAGTTTCTGTTTCAAAGCTGCCGCACTGCTCTTTCAAACCCCTTTCCCCCCCCCCCTCCCTTTCTGCTGGCCACTCTAAAAAGACCATAGAAATATTTTATGAGTTGACACAGGGAATTCTGGGAGGTGAAGCCTACCCATCTTCAGGCTGCCAAGGTAGGAAAGCAGGTAATGGATTCCACAGAAAGAAATGAATTCCACATACCTCTTTGCTGACTTTTTTTTTTTAAAACTTGGTTTGTAGGATCACCCGAAAAATCAACGCCTCCTGTGATCATTTCCCCAACAAAGTGGATCACCTATGAACTCAAGCCAGGTAATGGTCCCGTTGTGACCACTTGTTCATCAGATCCAAATTCAATTCAATTTCAGTTCAGAATTGAGCTGGAAGGGACCCTGGAGGTCTTCTAGTCTGACCCTCTGCTCAAGCAGGAGATCCTGTACCATTTCCTTGCTCTCCGGGTCAGCCTCTGCCTTATAAAGCTGGATTGCAAGGCAGTGTGTGTGTGTTCTGTCCTCACTACACGTTAGACTGCGTGCAGTTCGACCTATCCTCCAATAAAACACTGGATGCTTTATTGAAAGAACAGGATATGGTGAAACTGGGGGGAAACAGGGATACATACAAAATAGACAGGATGAACTTACTGCTGAATAGAACAATTAATAAATTGCAAGCAATTTAAATCTCACCAGCCATGCTCTGTGCCTGGGATGTGGCTTTGTCCTTGGATAACCATGTGCCACAGATTAAGATGGATTCTTTGTTGTGCTTCTGCTTTCTCCAAATGCTAAAGGAAATGGAGTCTGGCTTCCCAGCATGCACTTGTTTTGAGAGGGTGGGCTGATGGGTAAAGGGGTGGGTCAGCTTCAAACAATATATTTGGTGTTTGTCTCTCCGGCCACTAGCTGGGGCTAGAGAGCAACAACAGTATATAAAAGTTATATGCTGAGGCACGATAGGGTGGTCTTTCCTGCCTCTATGTCAAGTTTCCAAGCGATGAAATCCATTTAAAAAGAAAAAAAGCAAAGTTCATCTTCCAAAACAATTTATTGTATTTAGGGAAGCATCAAATTGGCAAAGTCGTCGTAATTCCAGATCTAACAAAACCCAGAATTACCCCACAATATTAAAAGTTAGAAATAACCCCCCAAAGTCACATTCTCTAATAGAAGTAATTCAACGTTGCCTGATGTCAAAAATCTCCACGTCAAGGGGCCTTAGTGTGGTCGCTCGTGTTCCCACGGGAAGGAGGACCTTCTAGCCTAAACAACTCTATCTCCACTCCTTCCTTCTTAGGAATGTGGCAAGCCCAAAACCCTTCCCACATAACCACCAAAGGGAAAGTCAGAAAAACAATATATACTAAGCCTAACTGACATTGCTACGCGTATGTCAATTTCTGGCTTGACAGTCTGCCCTCCCTCGTTTGAAAAGAAACTCCTGCCATGACATAGAAGATACACAAAGATTGAAATTAAGTTAAACACCATCATACCATGCGCATTTTAACCTCCTCTGACGCAGACTTCACCTTGGGCTTGTGTGGATATTTTTCATGGAAATTTTCCCACCAATCTATCAGCATGAGCTTTCCAGCCATTTACCCAAGTTGCTTGTGAAATTGGATAGCCTTCCCAATAAATTAAATATTGTAACTTCCCCCTGAAAATCCTAGAACCCAAAATGTTCTTAACTTCATCATGTTCATGTCCCGCAATGAACCAAGGCTTCAGGGCTACATGTTCTACTGGCCTCAATGAAGAATCAACAAATGTCTTTAACAAACTACTGTGAAACACCGGATGTACTTTCCCCCATTTTAAACCGTAGCTTCGCTTACCATTGGGTCATCTTCTTCGCTGTCTGCATCTTGCATGATGGGTCCTCCTGCTGCCAGAGTTCCCTCCCCGAAATTGACAATTTTGGGCTTGACACTCTGCAGATTCAGGGTTTCAATCAGCTTGCTTCTCCCAGACAGATCCTTCCTCTCTCTCTCTTTTCCAAATGCTTCCTCCCAGCATATTCCCGCTTTTCCCCCGGCAAGACTCAATTTAAACTCTGGCGTGGCATTTTATTCGTTCCTTTGTTCGCGGAGAGATAACCTTCCTGTTCTTTCTCGTGCCAGGGGAACAACTTTTTCTCCATTGTGAGGTCACTTTCACGTTCCTGAAGGACTCTCCCCAGGAGGTCTGGTGGGCCATTGATGGAAGGCACTCAGATGACGTCACCGACTTCAAGTTCAATGTGTCCACCACGTAAGTGACCGGGACTGTCTGCTTGACTCCAAGGGGAAGGCCGCGGCTTTCTCTAGGTTGACAGTGGGGGCGGGGGGGGGGGGAATGCAGCTGAAACTGGGGAGATGGGTGAGTCTTTGGGCCCAAAGTCACCCAGCTGGCTTTCATGCCTAAGGCGGGACTAGAACTCACCTTCTCCTGGTGATTGGCCCAAAGTCACCCAGCTGGCTTTCATGCCCAAGGCGGGACTAGAACTCACTGTCTCCTGGTGATTGGCCCAAAGTCACCCAGCTGGCTTTCATGGCTAAGGTGGGACTAGAACTCCCAGCCTCCTGGTGATTGGCCCAAAGTCACCCAGCTGGCTTTCATGCCTAAGGCGGGACTAGAACTCCCCGTCTCCTGGTGATTGGTCCAAAGTCACCCAGCTGGCTTTCATGGCTAAGGTGGGACTAGAACTCACCTTCTCCTGGTGATTGGCCCAAAGTCACCCAGTTGGCTTTCATGGCTAAGGTGGGACTAGAACTCCCAGCCTCCTGGTGATTGGCCCAAAGTCACCCAGCTGGCTTTCATGGCTAAGGTGGGACTAGAACTCACAGCCTCCTGGTGATTGGCCCAAAGTCACCCAGCTGGCTTTCATGGCTAAGGCGGGACTAGAACTCCCAGCCTCCTGGTGATTGGCCCAAAGTCACCCAGCTGGCTTTCATGCTAGAGTCAGCTAGCTGTCAGGATTCAGGCAATACTCCCCAATTGAATAATTAATCTCGAGCCAAACTTCCAAAACTTCAAAAGAATTTATTGGGACTTAACATGTCCATCATTGCCTGGGTGTAGCCACCTCTGAGACATGTTAATTCGTTGTCACCCTTGACCCTGGTTTCCCCCCAACCCCTGGGTGAATCCTAATTCATATTCTCCAATGGGACACATCCATAACCCAGAGTCATCAATCATGATCTCCAGTTAGAATTTTGCCCGGCAGAAACTTCGGTCACCTAGAAACCATCTTTGAAAACATTTATGGAATGCACTTTCGGTTTGCAAGCTGCCGCACTGCTCCCCCCCTCCCTTTCTGTCGGCAACTCTAAACAGACTAGAGAAATATTTTAGGAGTTGACATTAGGTGGGTCTAGAACTCACAGTGTCCTGGTGATTGGCCCAAGGTCTTCTGATGCTTTGGAGAATAACTTCTTTGTGGAAGACCTTCAAATACTGCAATGCTGCCAGGGGTGGGATTCTACCGGTTCGGACCGGTTTGGGCGAACCGGATGTTAAAGTTACATCTAGTTCACTGAATCGGTATTTCAACCGACTGGCTGGCCCCGCCCTCCCCTCCCTTCTAAGGAGTCTCCGCGCGGCCCGTTTTCGAGGGAGGTAAGTCAAGGGTCTTCAAAGTCGACAGCTTTAACACCTGTGGACTTCAACTCCCAGAATTCCTGAGCTAACATGACTGGAGGAGGAGGAATTCTGGGAGTTGAAGTCCACAGGTGTTAAAGCTGTCGACTTTGAAGAGCCCTGGACGTAAGTGCAGAGTCTCCGCGGAGGCTCTGGGAGCGGGAAAAACAGGCCTTCTGGAGAAGGCTGTTTTTGCCCTCCCAGACGCCCGGGGGGGTGGGGGCGTCTGGACCTTTGGGAGGGTGAAAACGGCCTCCCCCAGTGTCAGGATTCTGACAATCCACCCCCATTCAAATCACGAGTCTCTAGCCGCATCCAAAAAAAAATGATTTATTAGGAGTGACCATGTCGGTGTTACCTGGGTGCAGCTGACACTAAGACACACCATTCATTTCCCCTTGACCCTGGTCTTCCCCCCACCCCCTGGATGTATATTCTCCAATGGGACACATCCATAGCCAAGAGTCATCAAGCATGCTCTCCGGTCATAATCTTGTGTGCCAACAGCTCCGGCTGTCTAGCAATTATCTGGAGCATTTAAGGAATGCACTGCTTTTCTCCCCACTCCCTTTCTGCTGACAACTAAAAAGACCAAAGGAGTATTTTTTTAGTTGACACATGGGCTCTGGAGGCCCACCAGAACCCGGAAACAGGAAGTTCCAGTAGGCCCTACCCACCATGGCCACACCCACCCAGGCAACCGGGCAGCAAGCCAGTTGCTGGGATTTTTGAACCCCACCCTTGAATGCTGCTCTCCTGTTCCCCCCGGTTCTTCTTTTCTCTCGACTGGCCAAACCCAGTTCCTGCAACCATTTTGTGTACGTTTGAGTCTCCAGGCTTTTAATCCTCATAGTTGCTCTCTTCTCGGCCCTCTTTCTGTGCTGATGGTGTAAACCTCTTAGAGACGGCTGTCAAGCCCTTGTTCTGACCCAAGCCTCCTTCAGATCAAACACACGCAAAACAGAGATAAAAGCAAAACCTTTTTAAGGCTTCTCTGTGAATCCCGTTCATTCACAGTAAAATGCGATTAAAAACGAATTGTCCCTGATAAGAAGGAGCCTTGCCAAGGTGGTGCAAGGCTTCCAAGAACACTAGATAAAGTGGCCAAGAAATATTTCAAACACAAAGAGTCTCCAAACACCAACCAAGATACTCCGAACGTCCACCAGGCTTGAGTGCAAAAACGTCTTTGCTTCCTGCAAAGAACTCCGGTTTCTCAGCTGGCTTTTATCCCTTAAGGGAGGGGCCATTACCTTGCAGCCTTACTCCCGAGTCGCCTGTGCTGCTGCAGCTGCTCTTTCCTTTGAGCAGCCCTCGGGGTCCTCTTCCTCACTGCTGCCAGCCTCCACAAGCTCCGAAGGCAGCACCCCACTCCCTGAGGGTCCTGGCCCCATCCCTGCATCTCACACAGGCCCCTCACCTGAGTCCTCGCTCTCCAAGACCTCATCTGTCCCCACCTGCTGCCAGAGAACCACAACAGCCCTCTAAAGTGGTGTGTGTGTGTGTGTGTGTGTATGTCTCTTTTCTCTCCCGGATCTTCTCTAGGGAGACTCCCTTATCGATCGGAGGGACCAAGATCGAAAAGACGCTGATCGCGCCCCGTGTAACGGAGAAGGATTTGAAACGCAATTTCACCTGCTTCGCCCAGAACAACCGAGGCATCGTGCACGCCCAGGCGGTCGTGAGGATGAAACGTAAGGAAGCCCACCCACCCCCACCCCACCCAAGCAGCCCCCCTCCCCACACACACACAGTTTTTCTGGAAATCTTTCAGCTCTGCTCAGGGAAGGAGAAGCTGGAGGATTTTGCTTTCTCCATTTTTGGGGGGAACCACAAACGTCCCCAAAGCGCCCTCTGGCTTTCTCCGGCCTCCTCAGAAGAGAAAAAGGGGGGGGAAAGCCACGTTCAGACCTAAGGGAAACCGGGGTTTGTCCAGTGGTTTCATAGAACTGGAAGGGAGCTTGGAGGTCTTCTAGTCCAACCACTGTTCTGACCCAGGTTTCCCAAATTCATGAAGCAGACTCCTTGTCCCCCACAAAACTCCTTTGTCTTAGGCTAATGTGAATTCCTCTCATTCACATCCAGCAAAGTCCCGGCCAGCAGCCTTTCAAGGGTGATTTACGATCACAGACCCTTATCAGGCTTGGAGAGTTGCCAGGCTGATAGCTTCCAAACGCCACATTGTAGCAGCAATGACTTGGCAAGGAGTCAGGAACAGATCTTCACCCTCATGAATTGAACTAATTGCCTCCTGCAAACCCCACTCCCCTTTCGCTCCTCTTTATTCAACATGGGAGGGGCCATTCACCGTCCACCTGTGCCCTTACTCCGGAGTCGATCCTTGTTCCTTTGCTGTTCCCTTCTCCTGGCAGCTCTGTGCATGCACACACTGGGAACAGGCTCCAGCTGTTCTTCTTCCCCACTGATCTCCGACTCCGAAGGCAGCTGATAACTGTCGGGCGGCCCTGGCTCCATCTCTGCCTCTGACGCAGAGCCTTCGACAGACTCCAGGACCGGTCCAGGTTCCTCCCCAACCTCCTCACTGTCCGATTCTGCCACCCGGTCCGCTGACCACTGGCAGGCCACAAGACCCCTTCTCAAAGCAGGTTTCTTATACCGTCCAAGTCCAAGGGTGGTCCAGTCTATTTTTGAAAGCCTCCAGTGATTTTCCAAAATCGAGGCAGAGTCTGGGTGAGGCTGGGCTGCATTCATAGAAGTGTTTAGCCAGCTAGCGACGCATGGAGAACATCTCGACGCGTGACGTCATTTCCGCTTCTACTGATCACAACGGCGCGGCGGATGACGAACAGCCCAGTAGCAGTCGCCTTTCTCTGCGTTTGATCGTGGCATTTGTTGATGGTAGAAAGTACTGGAATGGCGACCACAAAAAAAAAAGGCGACTGCTACTGGACTGTTCGTCATCCGCCACACTGTTGTGACAAGCGTATTGTGTGCATGAAGTCGGTGTAGCTTAGCCTAGCATCGAATGTCAGCCACGATGAGGAACGGCGGGCGGGACTTCCTTCAGAGGTCCATTCCCCCTGCGGGCCACGCTAATATTATACTTTCATATCACAGTGGGGGCCACAGGATATCATCCCGCGGGCCGCAATTGGCCTGCGGGCCGCGAGAATGAGACCTCTGCTCTCGATCTATTGTATGTTGGCTATGAATTATGCGATCCAAAGCCAACATACCTGGCTAGTGCCAGTTAGGGAATCTTTTTCCCGCGTCGGATTTTTTATTTATTTAATTTTATTTTTGGCATATGTCCATCAAGAGACCCAGGGCCACATTTGCAATAAGGACACTTGGAATAATGGAGGGGGGAGGGGAATGAGGTTTTTAAAGGGTTTGTGCGCTGCTCAGGGAAGTCCGCAAACTTAAAGGAATAAATTTTGTGCCGGGTTTTTGTTGGCTTGTCGTACAAATCAGAAGCCTCCACACGAGCCGTGCCCTTACCTGGCATCCGAAACGGGCTGCTTGGGGACCCCTGGGAGGGGGGGAGGGCAGGGTGGGGGCAGGGCCAGCCAGTCATCAGAACTACCGGTTCCCTGAACCAGATGTAAAATGAACAACCGGTTTGGCTGAACCAGTGCGAACCGGCTGAAGCCCACCCCTGCTTGTAGATTTCAAGTGACTCCGACAATGCGCCCTTCCCCAGGCACCTCTGTGTATTTGAAGGGTGGGGGGAATGTATAAATAAAATAAAAGATGGCTTGATTTAAAAAAAGAAAGAAAAAAAAAAGAACAGGAATAGGGGACCGGCTGGATGCCAGTCCAGACCTTCTCGCTTGCTTCTGAACTTCATTTGGGTTTAGTTCCTTCTCCTTACGGGCCTCAGAGCAGGAACGGAGGAGGGAGGAGGGTCGGTTTGGATTCAGAAGCAGGAGAAGGTCTGGCAGGGGTTCAAGGTGATGAGGAGATATGAGGGGCTCCTGGCTTTGGAACAGGCTCCAGGAATGGGTCCCCAAGGGATGGGAGCCAGGAGGGTTGTGAGGTGGGCTTAAGCAGAAGTTTAGGTGTCCTCTCCTCCTCCCATCCCATCCCATAATAACATTCATGCACTCTTTGCGGGCAGGTTCTTCCTCCAGGGAAACTTTTTCTTGTTTGAAAAGTCAGGTATAGCTGGGGGGCTCCTGATCTTCTAGAAACAGCCATTTTCGGTGTGTTGTGAAAATAATAAACTTTTCCTTTCTTCTTCTTCTTCTTCTTCTTCTTCTTCTTCTTCTTCTTCTTCTT